TTTCGTTACTTTTGTTTTATAACGATTTGGTAACGCCGTTACTTTTTTGTATCAGTAGCGAAAAAGTAACGGCGCTACATTTTCTTTAGTAACGAGTAACGAAATTCATCGTTACTTGTATCGTTACTTTTTTACTATAATGACTTTTGTACACAGAACGCGGCAACACTTACCACGCTACGAAAGTTTACACATGATAAACAATTAATATGCTTTTCGTAAAGCCCATTCTACAATAAGCAATAAATCTTAAGTTATAACAAAATTGATCAATCATAGTCGATTATTAGAAGAATAATCCACTGTAATTGGTCAATTTTATTGCAACTTAAAACTTATTGCTTATTGTAGAAAGCCTCTAAAGCATGGTCTACAATGAGAACTTAAGCCTTAAAATTTAAGCTTTAAACTCTAAGCCGTAAGAAATTGATCAGACACAGTCAATTATTTTTCTTATAATTGACTGTGATTGGTCAACTTCTTACAACTTAAGACTTAAAGCTTAAATTTTATATCTTAAGTTCTCATTGTAGACCACGCTTAACTCATTGCGACATACATTTCTCTATCAAATTAATTTCACAGATAAATGTACCTTTAGAGGTTTTTGGTAATCGCTGATTACGAATCCGAAGCCAGATTTTCAAAATTTAAAATGGCGGATCCATATGGCGGACGAATTTTAGAAAATTATAGTATTTGTATGAAACCTAATATCTAGAGTTTTTTGGTTCGCTGATTATGAATCTGATCTCAGATTGTCGAAATTCAAAATGACGGATCCAAAATGATGGACAAACATATTAAAAAGAGGATAAAATATTATGAAAATCATTACCCGACGGTTTTTAGGGTCGTTAATTACGAATCAAATATCAAATTTTCAAAATTCAAAATGTTTGATCCAATACAGAAGACCAAGAAATAAAAGAATGTGTTTTAGGTCTTCAAAATTAGTGGGCGGAGATCTTTTTGGCAGCTGATTACGAATCTAAAATCAAGAGTAAATTTTTTTATCCAATGTAGTGTGCCAAACATGTAAAAAATGAGTCTTTTCAAAAGGTA